TAGTCTCCATTTGACCCCCCAAAAGTGAAGCTTTTTGCGGGGGATTGAGGGCCCAGAATAGAGAGCAGAAATGTGTCGAGATTGGAGGCTTTCGGACAGCACAAGGTGTCTTGTTGCAACGAGAGCATTGAGAGGAGACGCCCCATACCTGACATGTTGCTGCCTTGAATTGCATCAAGCAAAGGCAGGCGGTAACGGTTCGTGCATACAGGAGTCGCAGAGCTCATGAACTCGCAATACTGGGATCTCGATTTCGCAACTGATTTTCTCAGTTGCCTGGAACCCATGTTGTCCGCAAAGGGTTTCGCACGTCATCTCGAGCTTATTGGAACCTATTTTGTCCGCGAGTTGGTTTCACGTCTTCTCGAGCTTCTCACAGGACTTGAGGAGGAGGCCCTGCCAGAGAAGCTCTCGGCAAGCTGGAACGCCACCTTTGAGGAAGGCAAAGCAAACACGAGGACTGAATGGCGGTGCATGCGTGTGCTTCCCTCACTTTCGAGGGATTCATGGGATGCCCATAGTCGAGCTTCACCAAAATTCCAAATATGTGTGCCTAGCCACGTGTAAAACATCTCTGTGCACTGAAGTGCCACAAGAACCAAATTGCCTCTGCTGAGCCAATGAGACTACCTGGTCAGATTATGTTTTGAGTCCGAGCTAGCTCGTTGCAGACATTGCCTCATGCCCGACTTGACCTAACAAGTTGTGCTCGGGCATGCGCATGTCAGCCAACTTTCGCGTAGTGTTCTTTGTGAAGTTGGGCTAGCTCCATTCGCAAAAAAAGGCACGCCTCTGCTTGTTTGCCTATGCCTTGCCTTCAACCCCTGAAGAAGCATCAGACCTCAATGGCGGCGAGACAGTGGAAGCCAGGAGTTTTGTCTCCCGTTGGGTGCTTTTGAAACATAGCTTAATGACTGGCGACAGCATCTTCTCTGAGACTGGCACCCGCCAGGGCCTTGTGAATCCGGCCGGGGTCGTTCAAAATTCAATCCTGCCAGAGGGTAGGGATCTCCCTGTGGTATCCCAAGCCGAATCGGATCCGTTTTGAACCCAGACCCCGAGGTATTTCTTTTTAGACCACCTTGTTAACCGCCCTCATGGTTGTTGTTGGGAAACATGTTTTACATTTTTGCTCATTGTTGAAATCATCAGCCACTCAACTGCTAAAATCCGAAAGAATTTGTGCTCCCCTTCCCTGTGTCCACCGTGAGGAAAGAGTGGCGCCGACTGAATTTCACGGGCCGGGGCCAGATCTTCGGCAACGGGAAGGAGTGTGTGCTCCAGGGCCACGCGGAGATGCTGAACTTGCAGTGGATGGAGGCACGAATCCTTACGCACAAATCCTCCGGTCCGGTCATACCCATTGACACACTGACTTGGATCCCCGGTCAAAACCGATGGGATCCCATTTTGGGGTAGGTGCATCACCCATTTTAGGACCTATTTTAGTGGGATGTTCACTGGGGGTACGGGCTTTTGACCCATGGCCACTTGTTTGTTTTTGGGGCCTTCTCCTTCTTTCCCCCTCCCCCCAATAAATCGCTGCGTCGAACAGACGCTGTGCGCTATCGCAAAAGGAAAAAAAGGCAAAGGGGAACTGTGGGGCTCTGGAAGGCTCAAAGGAATGTGCGCGAATCCAAAAGCGACCCAAAAAAGGTTGAACTCATTGAGGGTCACCCAAACGTCGTTTGCTTTGCGATCAAAAGGGGGTAAACTGGTAGATCTTGTACTTGGGAATTTATTTTCAGGTTGGAGGCAGGTCTGGTAGTTTCTCATGAAACGGCGAGATCGTCGATTCGGTGGGGAGGGGGTTTGGAAATGTCATGATCTCCCCTGACAGATCTGGAGGGGCCCCTCTGCAAGTGAAGGAGCTCAGTGTTTGCAGTGTGGCGGTTGGCTCTTTGTTTTTTTCCAGCTCCACCAGGGTAAATGAGAGGGTCCCAACCAGCTTCAAATTCACCATGGCAGTTTGTTCCATTTCAACTCCCCGATCGGGGTCCATTGCTGAGTTTCCCAGTTGGGGCCTTCACAGGAACATCCCTGGGGCACGCTGCACGTGACGGCCAAGCTGAACTTGAAGTACATGAAAATCATCGGCACCTTTCAGGCGCTGCGGCTTCCCCCCGCGTTGGCTTTTTTTTTGCGCTTCTTGCTGCGACACCGCGAGCGTGGCTTATTGTTTTGTGTCTGGGGGGGGGGGACCTTGTTGGGGGTTGCTTTAAAGGGAGACCAAAAGGAAAACTGAACCCGTTTTGGGGGATAACCAAGTGACCAGACCAGAAATGAGGGTTCTAATCCCTGAAAGAAAGTGGAGGTCTTCATGGCTGCCGGTCGCAGCTTCCTTCCTTTCTTTTGTCCCGAACCTAATTATTGGCTGCACAATTTGATATGGCAACAAATAGCAATTGCTCTTATTCTGGTCCGGATCATATGGAGGCACGTTGAGTCTTGGATGACCACCTCTTGAGGAGGGCGGTGAGCCAACATGCTTGCTAGAAAGCTGATGTGTTCAACGTCAACGGAGTTCCATCAAGGCAGTCCGTCGTTGGCGTTGGATGCTTACGAACCGTCCACAAAGAGTGTTGAGGTGTTGCAGCCAGTTCTCTCAACCCAAACTAGCACTGGAGCCAGTGACAGAAGTCAATTGTGCTTTGGCTGCCTTCTGCCTGTTGCCTATTTTCAGATTCGAGTTTCCACCCATCAACCGTGTCCTTCGTAGCCCCTGAGGCTTCAGACGGAGGCAAGGGCAAGATTACCTTGTCACAAGACGCGACAGAAGACCTTGACTGAGGCACAGGGAAACTGAAGCTGGCCCAAATTGGATTTTTTGTGTCATTCCGAACAGGTTGACTGTGGCCGCTTCAGAACTTCACTTGCGTGTCGACTTCAATCGACTGTGGCTTGATGCCATGTTGGTCCCAGTGCCTGCGCCTGCGAATGGCCTGTGAAGAGCAGATGGCACGCGTGGTACACCTTTGGCACGGCATTTTATTGCATTTGAAGCTGAGGTGAGGCTGGGATGACTGCCTAGGCTGTGGCAATGCCAAACACTTTGGACAAGGACTTGTCGCGTAGCACCAACATGTTAGCATGTTGGTATGGCTCATCTACCCCGGCACAGCCTCATGCCCAATATCACAAGAGTTGCAAGCACTTGCGTGCCTGTCTGGCCAGTGCTTTGTCGCTTTGTAAATCTTTGAGCCTTCGGAGTGATTGTGCGCGGAAGGGGGGCATGTTATTTGCAAAGCCCCCTCCCGCAGCCATCCGGGCTAATTCTTTGGATTTTCCGGTGGCACCACGTCTAAGACGAAGGGTGCATCGTCACTGTGCTTTGCCTTGCCGGGTCAAGAGATAGTTCCGCATTGGATGAGGCTGGAGATTCTCTGGTTGTTTCCCTGGTTGAAGAGAAGAATCCACGGTGTTGCCCAACAGGCCTCATTCGCTCGGAATGGCGATATGCTTTTCCGCGGCATTGCCGTTTTCGGGAGGTCCAAAGGGGTCCAGCTCTCACCATCCGGCGATGTCACCTCGGCACCGAACGGCTCGTGCTTAGACTTGCGAGTCTGATGGGAGCTCTCTGCAATGCCTTCAGAAGCACACCTGTTTCCATAGGAGGACACTGGACCTGTGCTAAAATCCATGAGCTATCTCTGGGCATAAGCCTTTTTCTGTCCAAGAAGCTCTGGGCGTTACGAGTCAAGCATCCAGGTTTTGGCGGGTCGAGCGGATTCTATGCTAGTCCCTATAAACCAAGATTCATAAATGGGGGGCCAATGAATTCATGACGGGTACCGAGCCGAAAACAAGACACGCACCCCAATGAGTCTATGAGTTCACGGCCCTTTGGGGGTTTCGCTGCTCATGCTTTCGCCGCTCGCTGACTAGCAACTAGTTGGGGACGTCTGCATCCAAAGCTTCTTACATGGCCCTGGCAAACCCAGCAAATAACTAACTAAGAAATGACAGGTGCCCACGCTCCGGGCGTTTCCTTATTGGCTTTGAACCTGACACTCATGGCTCCTTGAGAAGAGACATGAAGCAAGTGTTCTCTTATGCAGTAAGGACAGGCATGCTAAGAGTGCATGGTATGTAGAACAAAGTCCATTTGACCGGCTCCGTGAGCCAGTTCAACCACCATTCGAGAGAACATGAAACACAATCTGAAGATATGCCAATCATTGGGCGCGGGGTAAGTTGCCAAGTCCAAATCACCTCGGAGAATGTGAGAGCGCGTTGAAGCACAGCAGCGATCCCAGGGCCCAATGGCCTGGGACCGGTGGAACCGAACGCCTTCTTGTGCTCGAAAGCCGTTTGCACAAGGCTTCCCTGTATAGAATGTATATATATATATATACACATATGTTCTATACATGTGTATATATATATATATATATATATATATATACATGTGTATATATATATATATATATACATGTGTATATATACATATACATGTATATATATATATATATATCCATGGCCGTTTGTGGCCAAGGGGCCCTAATTTGGTAGATACCAAACAAGACACCAGGGATGAAGGCCATGATTCGACAAATGTGGGTAAATATCGTCTACATGGATCCTCTGGCCCATGCTTCCCCCGGATGCGGATGGCTAAGACTCCTCACCTTTGTGGGGGAGTTCTTTTGGTGGGGTGATGATGGTGATGTTTAAAGAGGACAAATGGAAGCCTGTTGGATCGGTTGGATGCTGCGAATTTGTAGATCCATCAAAAGGGAACTAGAGTACCCCAAATTGAACCAACGAGAAGGATCTCCAAACCGCTTTCGAGATCCATGGGATGTTTTCAACGGCCATGGCAGAAAGCCCACGGGCTCAATGAAATGATCCCGGCGAGTGGAAAAAGCTGTGAACACCCCAAGGTATCAAACCAATTTGGGGGCTTAAATTCGTAGGACGCTTCCCATGGTTTGCTTTTTCTTTCCGGTTCTCAGAGCTGAAGTAGATCTGACTGGATCTCGCTCCACTCGTGCGCTGAG